GGGACTTTGACTCATAAATAAAGCGTTACTCATTCAATGGTGATGGCGCTGTACCACAAAGCCAAGTGCTTTCAAGTCTGGTGTTGACGACGTTGGCATGACAATTAAGAGCTTAAAATCCCCCTGTGACAGTGAAGAAAGGGATAAATTATTGTAGGCCATTGTTCATGAGTCATGGTAGAATGACGGTGGGAAAAGGTGATTGGAATCAGGATTAGCTTTTGGTCTCATAAATGGTTGGGGAACCACTTCCAAAAATCAATTCCTTGGTCTATACCAGAGTGCATGATCGTCAAGTGCCTCAGTAAATGGAAGTACTTGTGGGCACCAACCGCCATCAACTCAAGCTCAAGGGGGCATGTGGATCACATCTCAAGGTGACTCAAGAGGGCATGGGCATGCGGATCACATCTCAAGGCCAAATCACCTGATTCTTGAGTAGCTTGAACCAATACTACTAGCACCCCTAACAAAATGACAAACATAGTGTGAGAAATCACACCAAAATTGCATCTCTTCCAAGACCTTCTCAGTAAGCTCATTGTATAGACAATCCTACCTGTAATAGGATGATACAAAATGCTGATACAATTTAGAAGGTATGGTGATGCCTGACACCTTATAAAACCCAAACCTTTGCCTGCATAGCAGTAACGGACAAACTGCTAACAGTGGAGCAGCCCAGAAAAAATGGTATGCCTCTATCGAACATATGTTTGATGTGTAATGTTGAATCTGAAATCAATGATAGCCACCTTTGTCCTTATATGGTCCCATCTCTTGGAACCTATGGGCTTGTCAAGCGAACTTCGATGGAAGCTCACAGGAAACCCAGCTGGTATAGGATTATTCCAAGACCATAAGGAGAGGATCCTAATTGCAAGACCATAAGGAGAGGATCCTAATTGCAGTCACAGCCTCTTCCGTGGCGACATGGCAATGATTTGAGATTGAAGTGGCAATGTTTCAAACTTGGTGGCACCTAGGCGGCCGGGATCCAGGCCACTTGGCACCTAGGCGGGTAACTTGTGCGGCCTAATAGATAGAAAAATATCTCTATAGTCTAACTGTTTAAGTATAATTACATAATACATAAATCCATATTACACACGCTCCTCCATACTCTATAATCGTAAGTCCACATCCAATTATCCATGTTTGACTCAAAATCTTTTAAAGCACTCTAATGGGTTTATAAAACATCAAAACTAAATCTAATATCAATAGGTGATATTTAGATCAATTTTTCGTAACTTTGAAAAATCCTTTCATCCAATGGAAATAACCCAAAACTAGTTTCTGAGTTGGTTTCTCTCTCTAAAACTCTAATAGACCGTTTGGGTACTTGAAAATCTATTACAGATAAACATATTACATTTGGGTACCTGAAAATCTATTACAGAGAAACATATTACAATGTTTGGATACACTTTAACGGTAAGAAAATTGAAATAAATTATATAAAATTTTCCTATGAAATCTAACGAATATGAACAAGATTTTCCCTACGTGAAATCTAACCGAGATGAACAAGATTTTCCCAAAATACTTAAAATCTAACCGAGATGAACAAGATTTTCCCAAAATAGAAATGAAATCCAAGATTTTCTCAAAATACAGAGATGAAATCCAAGATTTTCCCAAAATAGGTAAAGTCTAAACGGAGATGAAATCCAAGATTTTCCTAAAATACATGTTTAACGGGTAATTAGTTACGGAGATGAAATCCATTACGTGCTTAACGGGTAATTAGATGAGTAATTAGATTGCACGTACTTAACGGGTAATTAGATTTCACATCTAACGAAGATGAAATCCATTACGTGTTTAACGGTAATTACATTTCACGCACTTAACAGTTAATTAGATTTCACAGAGAATGGGTAATTAGATTTCACGGAAAATAGCTGTGAAATCCATCAAGCGCTTAATAGGTAATCTATAATCTAACTACACGCATCTTACCAAAAAAAATCCTACTTTTTCCGATTTCTACTTTCTCTCTCTAAACTCCACTCCTCCCTCTCTCTCTAAACTCCACTCCCTCCCTGTGCACATCTATTTCTACTTTCTCTCTAAACTCACCCCCATTCTCTCTTCTCTCCCTCTCCTGCACATCCATATCTAATTTCTCTCTTTAAACTCCACTCCCTGCACATATCCATTTCTACTTTCTCTCTCTAAACTCCACCCCCATTAAACTCCAACCCCATTAAACTCCAATCCACTTATAAGTGTGGTCATTCTCCCTTTCTCTTGGGCACATCTATTTCTACTTTCTCTATCAACATCTATTCTACTTTCTTTCTCAACTCCTCAATTCCACTTACAAGTATGTCAACTAAACTCCACTCCACTTATATGTGTGGTCATTCTGTCTTATAAGTGTCGTCATTCTCCCTTAAAGGTCTATTTCTACTTTCTCTCTCAATATCTATTTCTACTTTCTCTCTCAACTCCTCAACTCCACTTATAATATGTCAACTCCTCTCTCAATATCTAGTTTTACTTTCTCTCTCAACTCCTCAACTGCACTTATAATATGTCAACTGCATTAGTAAGTATTGCACATACTGCGCACGTCCATTTCTTCTATTTCTACATTCCACTCTTCTCTCAACATCTATTTCTACTTTTTCTCTCGACTCCTCAACTCCACTTATAAGTATGTCAACTCCACTCGTAAGCTCCACTTATAAGTATGTCAACTCCACTCGTAAGCTCCACTTATAAGTATGTCAACTCCACTCGTAAGTATTGCACATACTGCACATGTCCATTTTTTAAATTTCTACAATTCACTCCACTTGTAAGTGTCGCTATTCTCCCTCTCTACATTCCCCTACATTCTTCCTCCCTCCCTCTCTACTGTGCACATCTATTTTTACTTTCTCTTTTAACTCCTACTTTTTCCTACTTTCTCTTTCAACTCTACGCACATCTATTTCTACTTTCTTTCAACTCCACTTATAAGAAGTGTGAACATTCTCTCTCTTTCCTGCGAACGTCTATTTCTACTTTCTATCCATTTCTTCTATTTCTACATTCTCCTGCTCACATCCATTTCTACATCTTTCTATCCCTAATTTTTTCTACATTGTCATGCTCACATCCATTTCTACATCTCTCTATCCATTTCAACCTCTCTCTATTTCTACATTCTCTTGCTCACATCCATTTCTACATCTCTATCCCTAATTTCATTTCTACAACGCGCTATCCCTAATTTTTTCTACATTCTCTTGATCTCTATCTCTCTATCCCTAATTTCATTTCTACAACGCTCTATCCCTAATTTCTTCTACATTCTCCTGATCTCTCTATCCATTTCAACATCTCTTTATCTTTAATTTCCCTAATTTTTTCTACATTCTCTTGCTCACATATTTTTGCTCTATCCCTAATTTCTTCTACATTCTCCTGATCTCTCTATCCATTTCAACATCTCTTTATCTTTAATTTCCCTAATTTTTTCTACATTCTCTTGCTCACATATTTTTTCTACATTCTCTTGTTCACATCTATTTCTACATCTCTCTATCCATTTCATCTCTCTATCCCTAATTTAAGTTGTGGCATTCATCTAAAGCCATCACCTCTCATGTAAAAACAAAAATAATAATTCATAATCAATGAGAAATTACACAACACCATCACAATAAAAAATTTCATACAACATAATTCTGAGGTACTTTTTAATCTCCTCCATTGAACTTCTTCCCATTTCATTACCAAACCTTCTAGTTTACTAATCAAACTTCTTCCCATTCCATTTCTTCCCATTCCATTACCAAAAGTTATAACTTACTAATCAAGCTTCTGCAATTACCAAACCTTCTAGTTTACTAATCAAACTTCTTCCTATTTTTTTTAACTTGTACCATAAAAATTTTGAATTTGATATCATAAATTTATTGTTTATTTGAAATTATATAAAGAGATATTTGAAAGACTTCCGTAAAAAATAAATAAAAATAAAACTTATCACAATAAAATCATGTTATTCCAATCATATTATTCCAATGGTGTATCATGTTGAAACCAAAGTCTAATCATGTTAGAAGACCTGTAATTCCATGTATGTGCCAAAGATATGAAAAAGAAATTAGAAAATGGTGTCATGACTGATACAAGTTTTTATTAAAAAAACTTTTTGAAATGGTATGACGATTTTAATTCTACATTTCAATAGAAGTTTGTAAAGAAAAAAAAAAATGAATCTTTTTGGAATGGTGTTATTATTATCAAAAAAAATCTTTTTGGAATGGTATGTTGATTTTAATTTTACATTTCAATAGGATTTTGTGACAAAAAAAAAAATGATAGTGTAAAAACAAGTGCTCGTAAAATGTTAATGCATTTCCCATATTTCTTCCAAACATATCTAAACAATAACAATGTATTTCCCAAGTTGCATCTAAATACTCCCCAAACACTACCCAAATAGTAACAATCCATTTGCTGGTAATGTATTACACAGTAATGTATTACACCAACAATATATTTCACCACTAATACATTTCCAAATATCCACACGATTCCTAATGAATTATAAGTTTCAAATTAACTTAAAACCCACAATTTTTCCCTTTTATTATTAAAAAAATATTAAAAAACACCCTCAATGATAGGCATTGGTGCAAGTACTAAGCAGGTTCCAGGTGTGTCCAAACACCGCGTAGCTTTTTAAAATTACTGGAAGTGGCAGACAAAAAATGGCAAAGGGAAATCCATCAAACATAATTCAGTGGTATAGGACTGATCAAGGGGCTCTATGGCACGTGATCCCTATTTTAGATGAGATAAGGGACACCACTCGGTAGTCCACAGATTTTGGATGTGCAGTTACTAAAGACAATTTTTGTAGAGCTCGCACACATGAAGATAAATTTCGTGGAGATTAATGAGAAATCCCAAGTAAACATAATAATAAAAAGAAAAAACAGCTGTGTTTTGTGTCCCACTCACTCCGTGACTCCGTCATCATCCGACCCAATGATTTGCAGGCGATAATCCTTGTGACCACATATCGTATGCGATCATGTAGACAGCAGAGTATCCCATATACATGTGGGATGCATATCTACAGACGTAGATGCATCATATTACAGTGAAAAGATAGATGATACTATGAATGTAATTATTCCGTGTTCCACTTTCCCTTGATTGAAATCACGAAGTGATGCCTCTTTCAATCAGTTAAATTAGCAGATTAGTTAAACATCGCAAATTTTGTGAGCTATATCTAATGCAAAAAGATGAGTTCTGTGTCAATGCCTCAACGGCTTTGAAATTTTCATCGGCCCTTCATCAAAATTCTTCCCTGGAACTGAAATCACAGCCCAAAGTGATATAAGCATAAGGAATAATAGAAAGCATATAATCAAAACATTGGATTGTAAAAGAGAAAAACAAGCTTACATCGCAAGAAATCGAAGGCAACCATAAGGGTCAACGATTTCTTCTTTTTTTTTTTTGGGGAATGAGGGGTCACCGATTTCAAAAAATAGATTAACCTGCAAAGCCCACACAAATAAATAGCAACCAATCAATGGAAACTTTAACTCATTCATAGTGGATATCAAGCCATACTTAAACAACCAGCTCATGGAGAAACGACTATGTACCTGGAGAATGGCTCAGGAACTTAGAGGAACATTTTGGAATAGGCCTTCCTCTCTTGATTTCGTCTCTCTGCAATCTGCAACCAGTTATCATTTTTCAATGATAATGTAAGTAACAATCAAAAAGAGAATAAAATTGGCAAGTCAACAAAGAAATCTGGAACATGAGTTTTAATTGGTTATACCTTCTTCTTTGCCGTAGCAAGCTCTTTCTTAATCCCGACTAAATCATATAAGAAAAGACATTAGCAAGGGAGATTAGAGGCAGCAATGAATGTGAATAGTTCATGGTCTCTGTAAACACATCAATAAAAACTGAAGACAAAGCCAACCATCATTTGGTTCTAAGTCTAAGGCCTTCTTGAAACTTTCAACCGCAGCATCCACATCATTAAGTGCCATGTATGCCTGATAGATGAAAAATATACAACCCAATGATCAAAAAATCATCACAGAAAAAAAGAGGATGAAAAACACATTTAGAAACTACAGCAATGTAATGGGAGTCAAACAAAAAGAAGGGTGACAAAATGCAGCGTTAAAACTATAACAGAATGAAGACATGGTATTTTAATCACTGTAGAATGTTACTATACAAGTAGAATTGTTCTCATTCTTTGCATACATTAGACGTATTGAAGATAAGAGACTAATCAAGAAGTACATAAAAGGGATGAGAGAAGATGAAGAGGCAACAACATCGTTCATACACAGAACAAATACAATGCTGCTCAATGGACGGGCATGCAAAGCATGCAGCACGTTGCCAGCTTTTACAGGCATCGATTTTCCATTTAAAAATGGCAATGCTGGGCCAACTCCCTCCAATCATGAAAGTAAGGCCCATTTCTCTCCCCCACTTATTTGAAAAATGCAGCAAAATTATATATGTTTTTAATTTAGTTAAGGACCCAAAAAATCTCATTAGATGAACTCCGAGAGGGTAACAGAACATCCCTGGAAATTGGAATTTAGCTACACTCAAGGATGAGTTCCCACAAGAGGGGCCAGGTTGTGTAGTTCCAGTCAAATGTGCTCGGAAGAGCTTCCAAAGTTCAAATGTGCCCACTCGACATCCAACAAAAAAAAAAGGATCTCTATTCCATTTCAAGGATAAAATCAAGATTAGCGAACAAGAAGAATCCCGAAAAATGTCAGTAAGGGTGTAGAAACATGACCGACCAACATGATGTCCCCCAAAGGCCCCAAAAAAAAAAAAAAAAAAATCCACCCAACCCCCAAAACCCCTAAATATCACTCCTCTTGTTGTTTTTCCTTTCTCATCTTTAGGGTATATTTCTAGCATTTTTCCAATTTGTTGGATAAACGAAAACATGCTCTCAATGTGACATGGCTGCTCCTTGGTACATTCCATTCAATTTGTTGGATAAACGAAAACATCTTAATGTGACATGACCGCTCCTTGGTACATTCCATTGTGTCCATGACATTCAAGTCCTCGCCAAGAAAATTTTTCCATGACCAATATTTTTTTTTTTTCTTCCTCCAACTTCTTCCATACTTTCCGTTGGTGCTAGAAAGAAATTGCAAATTGGTATGCTTATCAGAGCTTATTTTTTATAATGTCCCAGCACGGTCCATATCTTGATGGATTCTTTCACCTAAACCTATGCAGATGACATGGACCAGCAAGATCTATCATCGCTCAGCACCATCGGATGTTCTGTGGTCCTGTTGGGAGTATCACTATAAAACTGTTCTGCCAGTATCTTCAAATACAAACCTATGACTGCCCCAAGAAAATATGAATGAAAACCTAGAATTAGGTTTTCACACAAAACTTCACTAGAACTTAATCCAGCACTCTCTGTACTCAACTCTCCTCTAGGATGGAAACAAATCAGGGGCAAAGTACTGCACAAACAACAACTTCAATGTGATCCCCAAAATAGATTGTAGATTATGCTTGATTAAGGCCAAGTACGGCTCCTTCCACATAGGAAACTAGACACATGCATGCAAACATGGGCTCGCATGTGCACATGCACACACACAACTCAAAAATGCCAATGTGCAAATAAATGAACTATGTGCAAGTCTCATAAAGGAGTCCATCAACAAGGTGGTGGATCAAGGCATATCCTGATTCCCAAATATATGTGCAACCATAACATACTTTTCATTTGTTCAAACCAAAAATACTAAAAGAAAATGTTTGGTTTCTATCATGTGTCGACCTCGCAGACAAGTGGCCAACACATTGCCGAATTTCAATTGACATCATCTCTTTTTAGTACATACATATTGACAATTGTTTTATAAAGTGTCTGGCATTTTAGTTACACTGATAGTGCCAGGCTCACATGGTCATGAACAGTGAATGCCCTGATAATCCTAGCCATGAAACTTTCTTTTTCTGGCCCAGTTTTAAATATTGTTGATATAAAGCAAAAAAGCAATGCTAGCTCCTGAGATTTGAACACTGAACTTTATGAGTAAGTCTACCACCACCTTGTGTGTCACATCTTTGTATGGAATGTGCCAATGTTCTAACATACAATACTTCCTGTTTTAATTAGTATATAAAAACTAAAATGTAAATCGTGAGGACCCAAACTCCAAACTTCAAGTACCAAGGGTGTTAAGCTCCACCACTGCAAACGCAGTGTGTATGATGGCCAAATTAACTAAATTTCTATTAGATTTTCATTTATAAGCATAGCCCCCCATCCATTGGCTTCAAATCCAGGACCTCCCTCCTCACTAAAATTAAGAGGGCAGATGACCACTTTACCATATAGTGCTAATGTATAAAGGTTAAAAATTCAAATTTATAATTAAACTAGTGTAACATTGTGTGAACGCATATTAGGGAAGTACTAGCATTTTAACCACATGTATTAGACACCCCAACATGAACTAGATACCGACACCTGTGTAGATGTCCATGTAATAGTGATTTCTATTTATAATGTCTCTCAGAAGTGACAAACCAATGGAACCAAAAGTGATGCCAAAAAAATAGATTCTATAATTGAGAGTTACTTTTATAAATTATAACAACACAGTACGTTAAAGGTTTTTTCTTTCTTTTTCTTTCGGTTTGGCAAACTGAAGCACCAACACTGCCAAACTGAGTAACTGTAAACAAAAAAGAAGAAAAGATACAATTTTACATCCATAGGAATGGAGTACAAGATGTCGAAATCCTTGGAAGAGAACATGGATAAGTAGAAATGGCGATGTTATAATGCTATTCCTTAAAGACTAGTCATCAAAACATCTTGAAGCCCTAATGAACAGAAAGATAAATCACAATCTCAATAATACTCAATAGATGAGACATGGAAGGTAATGGTTTAACTACGTCAGTTTTGATAGATAAGAAAACAAGACTAACCTGACCCTGGCGAAACAAAGCTTTGACATTGCCCTCTCCATCCCGCATAGCAAAATCTGTATCCAGTAAGGCACCTTTCAAATCTCCTAATTTTAATTTACAAGCCTGTGAAAAAACAGATAACATGTGCCAAGGAAAGGCATTAGATTAAAGAAACATCTTACAAAAGTCTGTAACTATGTAAAAGATGTCATGGATTATATAAAGCAAGAACACATTCCAGGTTGATTCTCCAAATAGCACATACAATGGAAAATCCAAACTATGACTTTTCACCTTCTGCAGAAGGGAAACGATAGTATGATATTTAATCTATCCCAAATAAAAGCATGGCATGGTACATGTACCACATAAACATTATGCTGCTAAATGTAGCCTCAACCTCCTGTTGTCAGAAACAAATGGTTGAGATGAACCTTGTTTTCTTGCGGGGGAGGGCCTCTACCCTTGGTGGGAATTGAGAACACAATGTCACTACTGATGCAGACATTGACAGCTTTGAGCTGAAGAATAATGCATCTCATTTGTTGACAACAGATGATTGAGTTTAAATGTATTTCACTGTCATCATGCAACACGCAACATAGTACAGAATCCCTTCGCACAATAGCAATCAAGTAACAGACAGAGAATGTCATACTGAGTGGCAACTTATAAGACAGCATAACAAGTATTAGAAGGTTTATACAACCTCAACAAGTCTGTAAAATAAACATCAAGCATAGAATGATCTTTATTTAATGAATATTGTCAGGTAAAATCAGGGATACTGCCCAACTCATCTTCACTTGTAATGAATGCATTGGGCCAAGAAAGAGGGAATACAAAGTTAGCAGTTGGTACAAAACATAAATACCCCTGTCATAGTTAGCAGTTGCACAAAACATAAATACCATTGGCATATCTATCAACACTCTCCAGCATCCAGGATACACCATTCTAAAATAACAGAATTAGCACTGGAAAACAGAGGTTGATGAGATCAATGGAGCAAAAGAATACCAGCAGTCAACTCAAAGTTATTTTAGAATATCCTAGGTTTCTACCAAGTCTTTCAATCTTTGAGATATACATTATTTCAACTACAATAACTGAACTAGGGCAATGATTCATGATGGAATCACAGACTATTCAAGTTAGTGATTACATATAGGGGAAAAGAATCAAAAAAGAAAACTTTTAGGAGCTTTTGTTAATAAATAAGAAAAAAAAATAACACACATAAGAAAAACACACATGCAAACAAGCATGCATATATGTATGTGCTTGCACTTGCACACACAAGCATGTATGTATGTTAATATACGTACGTATATGTGTATGCATGTATATATATGTGCATGCGCTCGCACACACAAATGAGAAGCTCACATACGTATCGACTCCATACTTATTTTGACAGAGGAAGACATGCAAAGATCCCAGGCTGATTGACACCATGATCTATTATCTGTGTTTTCAGAATACATATAGGACCTCTATAACATCGTTTTGCCTCCATGGTTTTACCTTTGGAACTCCCCCTAATTTAATAGAATCGACAAATCATGCTTAAAGAATTACATTTTTGCAGTAAAAGCAATCAGATAAACTTCAAATGGAAGCAAATTATTCTAAAATGGTATCTCATAATTTTCATGGATGTCTTTCTCTTTTCTTTTCTTTCTTTTTTTTCTTTTTTTGAAAGACAATATTCGCATATCTTGAGGCCTCATATCAAGAATGATCTCCAGAGTAAAAAAATATCCATGCGAACATTGATTGGAGCAAGTATTCGATTTTCTTAACAGATTTTAGTAAGGTCCAAACTTTGTTGTCAAAAGCAGAAAAGTCGAGGAACCTGAAACTTTCAATGGATGTAGCAAGAGTACTGACATTTAGAAGGCTAAAAAGTATTAATTCCTAAGACATTTCAAGATTAAAGGGATTCTTCAAGAACATATGGGTGAAAGGAACTGCTTACAGTATCTAGCCAAAAGAGAAAAACAAGTACTTACAGAACTATTTGTGAAGATTTGTGATTTTATCTTCCTCAGGTTCATATTCCTTTCTGCAGACAGCCAAGATGGGTCATACAACCAATGAACCGCATTATATACAGGATTGGCCAGATTTAGCATGCCAATCAAAATAAAAATAATAATAGCAACCCATGAGCATTCCATTAAACACAAAACGAAAAAGAGAAACTCATGAGTATGAAAGAATGCAAAATAAAAAGTACATGGACCCAAATTTCCAAAATGTTGGGAGAACAATCCAGAGCTTGCCCTTTAAACTATATTTCCCAAATTGAAATGAAAGTCTACTATATAGTATACATACAACACATAAAGTTTCACCAGAACATGCATCCACACCATGCCTCTCACTGAGAATGGATGGCGGAGGGATTCATCAATCACCTTGACAGAGAAATAGCTCAAGCAGAGTGTAGATCATCACCAACATCTATCCTCATTGACAGACACTAGATGGAAATGTGTGTTGGGTATACTACACATGTTGCACGGTTAGTATACTTATTTTTTTTCCTTTTTTGTTTTTTTGAATCTGATAATGCTTGTTGCACAGGTAGTAGACTCCAACAAATGAAGACTAAAAGACGGTACATTTGAAACATCAGACTTTGACACCAATAACTGATACTCTTAGCTATAAAATTTAAACAAAGGAAAACATAAAGGGAATTGCAATTTACCATCATCAATGTCATCTTTCTCCCAGCAGATATCCAGAAAACGCAAAGCCTTTCGGTACTTCCTAAGTGCCATCTTATAATCTTGTTTCTGCAAGCAATGCAAGATAGAGTTGACAACACAGCACATGCGTACATGGGCATGCACATGCATACCCATGGACAAACACTTACACACGCAAACACATATACAAGCGCAGCCCACACCCAGAAAAAAAGAAACAGGCATGAACATACATAGGATACAGTGCAAATTTAAGCTTGAAAGGCAAGCTTGGACCACTCTTGAAGATCATTATAAAATGTAAAATGACTAACCCTACACCTTATCACTAGTCAAGTAAAATAAACAAAATGCTAAATACAATAACAAATTATATCAAATATTAGAAAAGAGGGATGCAACAAATTTACCTTGTAGTACTCATTTCCAAAAGTTTTAGCAGACTCCACTGCCTCCATCCACCAAGAAAGTTCAGCTGGCTTCTCATCAAGGTCAGCAGGCCAATCAGGATACATATCGCCATCTTTGAAGAAATTGGCAACGCCATCATCACTGCCTTCGGGGATTTCTCCACAATCCACAATTACAACATCAACTGTGGGACAATCATGATCCCCCGTTGGGGTATGCTCTATGGAACGCACCACCCCCATACCTTTGATTACCTTTCCAAACACAACATGTTTCCCATCTAGATGAGATGTCCTTGTAGTTGCAATGAAGAATTGAGATCCATTTGTATTAGGACCAGAATTAGCCATTGAAAGCATCCCTTTTCGTTCATGTTTTAGCTCAAAATTCTCATCATCAAATTTTAGTCCATGGATGGATTCTCCGCCTGTACCATCTCCAGCAGATATGTCTCCGCCTTGTATCATGAAACCTTTTATAACACGATGAAACCGGACCCCCTAAATAGTGACAACACAACAGATATCTCAATTTAAATAGAACCTACACAATGTGTCACCTTGTGTCTAATATAATACAAAAGATAACCCAACATTTATGTAATATAAGCTATCAGCAACTACATCTGAATCTACAAATAGAGAAATGTTTTGAGCACAATTGCCTGTTGAAGCTTATTCAAGAAGATGAGTAACTCTGCAGGATCCCCATGGAAAAGAACTTGGATATTAACAGCAGCTCCCCACCTCGTACCAAATGCCAAGGCACTCTTAACACTGAACTGGATTCCATGGTACAAGATGGAATGGCTAGAGAATCCTCAGCAACTGAAGTCCCAATCCCGTTTCACTGATCCATTTCTTCCACTTTCCTTCACAGACTCTTTTTTAGGTTGATGTTCCTTTCCTCAGTTTTCTCTTTTTGTTTTCTATAATTTTGGTTCTATAATGCGTCTGTCTATGCAAAGGACATCGTACACCCATTTTAAAAAGGTTGCGGTTTGTACAAAGCCGAGGCTCTAAACAATCAAAGTAAAGCATACCTTCAAATCGTGTCAAGAAATGTGGTTTCAATACTGGAAATCTTTGTGATAGCCTTAAAATATATTTTCATCTTTAATTATAAAATCTAAAGCTACAAAAATAGTGTAGATCGAGCAGATATATGAAAATCTTGAAAATTGACGGTCCAAAAATGCATTACAAGATGCACTTTTTCCAAAACTTGAAATCCATTTTTTCTCATGTCCATGCATATTTGGTCGAGATGATCAATTTGAGTATATATGGGAATCAAAACAACCTCTTCTAATGAAATATTTGAGGTGCGCCCTGATTTGATTTATAGGTCCTCGCATTTATATAAACTTTTTCCTTTTAAAAGTTTATGAAAGTGTTACTTTTCAACAAAAGAAAAACCTTAAATCCGCTCTGCTGTTTTTAAGAAGATGCCATGAGATTTGATAACCAATGCCCTTAAAGTAACCAACTATCAATCAGATGCATATCAATAGGCGGTAACCAGCAAAAAATACTTCAAAAAAGCAGCGCACCAGTTACAATAAAAGCATAAGCAATGAAATGGTTCATTATCAAAAAAAAAAAAAGATTAAAAAAACCAAATGGGATTTATTTGCATATGATAAGGAAACTGAATTTACAGAAAACTATAATAGCAATTTACAGAGATCAAGCGGAGTCGACACAGGAACTTAGTATAACAGAAATGACAGGATATGAAGCGAAAATTTGCATGAGATTAATTTAACCTGCACTCCCATAAATTGAATTTTCTGGAGAGAGAAGAAGCATCTAGATACACATCTGCACCAATACAACCTGTTTCTCCATTCCTAGCAGGCGCAGTAGCAAGGGATCGTGAAAAGCTTGAATATCCCCCACTGTTAGGGATGTCAATCCTAACCTTTGGGGGATCTTGATTCCAACTGTTTGGGATCTCGATTTCAACCTTTTGGAGATCTTGCGCCCAATATAGGACTTTATATATTCTTTAAGGTAGAGGCCTCTCTATTTTGAGCCATCAAACAATACAACTGTGTTTATAGCTACAAATAAAGAAAATTTTCAGTTTGGTCGTTATCTTGGTCTTTAAGGTGGGGATCGAATCCCTAACAGTGCGGATCGAGATCCCAACATCTAAAAAGTTTCCTTTGCCAGAGCACTGGGATGAGATTCTGGTGTGGGATCACTCCTTAGGTTGGAAGATATTGGCAACTATGGTGAGAATAAAGCATTTAGATACACTTCCACACCAATACAATATGTTTCTAGATCAAAAAAATGTTTTATTTATAAGAATGATTGGAATTGACGAGATTTCTAATCATACTATAGGAAACCACAATATCCACATGGTCCCAGGTTGAACAAGGGGTGTCATCAATAAACTTTGGTATGCATCAGCTGAGTGGAATGGCATCAGCATTCACTTCCCTTAAGTGTGATGAAAAAACGACTTTTAGGAGGTGCACCTCTGTTATCTCCCCAAAACGAAAAAGAGAAAGAAAGAAAAAAAAAATTGATATTTGCCAAGAAGGAGCAGCCTTCCATTGAGCCCCCCAAATGGAAGTACGACTATCACCTTCAACCACATCGCAGTTTCCACCTGAGCTCACAGTAGTTAGTAGCTCCATTGGGAAAACACTCATATCGATTAGTGACAAGTAACAAGACTCTAAGGGGCCTGAGAAAGATAGCAGAGTCCAGAATGTCTCTCAATAGTCCTCCAATCCCCTCAGGCACCGGGTTGCTTGACTAGGGAGTGGTTGAAGAAATCAAGGTAACATAGAAGCCGCCGATACCCATGTCATCCCAAACAGGTCATGCACATGCAAAACAGAGTTAAACTAGAAGACGGTAAATAGTTGGCCGATATGAAGCAGATCATTCTCAGTACATCCTTTATAATGTTCATTGTAAAATTTCCATCTGCTGTACCAACCAAGTCAAAAGCCCATTTCATTGGCTTAAGAGAGACAAGTGCCATATTTTGTTCCTGTTCGAGTTGGCATCCTTGAACCTAAGCAAGTTCCCAATGATCAAACTTACCCTAACATAAACATTAACGTATAGCAATAAGGATAGTCCCAGGCGGATAGTGTTGGGATGTAGGCAATCAGAGTTCATGAAAAGCATGGCAGGCACAAGTGGCAAGGAACTCAAGCAAAATTGCATTAAGAAATCATAACATCTTACCAATAGCTCCGTGTACATATTTATAGACATTGTTGAATACCTTGAGCTTCAAGCAACCAAATAATTTGACCAAGACTCTGAGCAATATATTGAAGGTCTAAAACAACTTAGACTTCAGGAAACCCAAAATAACTAAATTAAAGTTGACTAAAAACTCCTAAGTAAAATTTAAAACCTAACTAGACATCAAATTTGCCACTAATGTCGTCAATAGGATTTCCGTCATGATTGGAAATTAAGCCCAATTTAGGAAAAACCCATAGAAATTAATGAGCAATAAATCCAATAAACACCCAGGTGAAATGTTATGCCCTGCTAAAGTTGCCTACATCAAAGGGGAAAAAATCTCAATATTGAATTGGCTATCAAATCCTAGCATTAAGGCATAGTGTTTACTGTTTAGAAGTACAACTTGCTCAAAAATAAGTTATTTACGTAAGCATCAACTATTTTCCCACAACACGATGCCCTAGCTTACTATCAAAAAACTAATTCAAATCATACCCAAAGAAAGAACCTAGCTTACTATACGAAACCTAATAGACACTAATCAACATAAAAAACCTCGCTTATGTGCAAGCAGTCATATGGGTGCATGTGCATGGGTATAAATAGCACTGGTGGGAATAGACATTTTATTGCAATCACAGTAAGCCAATTCAGGTAAAGGCAATTCATGAAAACAGGGGGAAGGTTAAGTCTGTAGGCTACTGCGAGGAAACATCACATCCAAGCCCTCAATGACATATATGAAATTCGTAAAGAAGTATCATGCTGAACAGGTCACAAAGGAAAAAGGAGAAAGCACAACACAAGGGAAATACATAAGCGGCATAGTATATCTAAGACAAAAAGGCTATAATAGACCTTGTAGTGGAGGGGGACACCGGTATTCGGACCAACCCCCTTCTCCCCTGTGCACAATGCCCTAAAGTTCTCTGCAGTTTTGGGGACAACATCATTGTAAAGCTCCACAACTATTCTTCCTTCCAGCTCATCCCCTATTCCTATGTCCAAAAAACATCTGGGATACCCCATAAAGCTCCAACAAAACCTGACTTTCCCCTGGAATCAAGTATTTAAGTTTAGCTCAAAGTTAAAAATCTCTTGAATTTAGTGAGAGAAGGAAGCATTCTACAAGTCTTCACAAAATAATGAGAAATCAAGCAAACACTCAGGAGGAGACAAAAGAAAATGTTATAAACCAAAGAAGAGAGAGAAGAATGCGAGTGTGTTTCATGTCACTAAAAAATTAAAGAATGAGACAGGTTAAATGCATAAATGAAACTAATAAAAAAATGGGCAAACAGATAATAAGGCACGATGGAAGTAGATCATAGCCAAAGCTGGGTAAACTTGTTTTCATGTATTGAATTGCAGTGAAGCTAGAGCTGTCAATCAACACCACCATCATCATCATCATGATCTCTCTCTCTCTCTCTCTACGTCGTGGTGGGAACGGCGAAAGCGACAACGGAGGGTGAAGCG